TTGCATTCTAATTATTTCTCTCTTTGGTGCTTCTACAAAGCTAAACCGTATTCTTATGAGAAAGTTTTAAATGTTAGCTTGTACACATAAATTATCTAAATATGTAGGTCATGGAAGTTGTTTTAAAGATATGAGGAGCTAACTGAAAACTTTTTACTTGTTGGTTGCTGCTTGGGTTGATGGATGGGTGTTGCTTTTGTGCAGGAACTGGTCTTTATGGAGGTATGAAGGTTTTTATATATAGAGTGAATGGATCTTCTATAATGCAGATCAGACTTAATACGTAATTTTCAGGTGTTGAGATTCAATATTGGAGCTTCTAGGATTGCTTTTGTCTTCATGGAAGATTTGGTCGTTCATTTCAGGTAATTAAGTTGTGCCCATGTTCGCTGTGAAATCACTTTGAGATCGTCTTCCACATTTTAATTAAAAGAGAGGGTATCTGTTAATTAGTTTGGTATGGCACTCACCTTTTGTTGGGTACTTCTCATAGCTGTCTTAGTTTGGTATCGCAATCTTGTTGCCTTAGGAGCCAATTGATAACAGTTTGATTCAGTTCTGCAACCAATCATGACCTTGGTCATTCGAACTTAATCTTTCTGGACTTGAGTATCATGCATAATGACCAACCATACTTCAAATATGATGTTAATGAGGAGGGATATATTCCAACTTAAAGCATGTATTGGTTGCTAATGGAAGCGAATGTGTTGATGGTTGCTTATACAACTTATGGTAGCTTGGATCAACATATATGCTATGAACTTTGCTGACCGAAATGAGAGGTCTTTTTGTAATGTAACAAGGAGTTAAATCCCTGATCTCCTTTGCCTGTTGGAAGTTTTACCCTCCCCTAACCTAATATTGCAAGTATTAGACCCTCTTTAGAAAGGTGATGATTCCACCTGTAGTTCAGAATCTAGGAAATTGGTTTAGAATTCACTTCTGATAGAAGAAAGCATGTCTGGCAGAAGGAAAGTGAGTCTAGAAATTCGTAATGGAACAAATACATGAAATATGGAGCTAATTATATTGTTCCTTCTTGGAACTTTTTACGGTTGGTAGATGACTTCAAGAAGGGATTGGGATTCGGAAATGAGTGAAGAGATATAAAGGAAGGAATTAAAAAAAGTAAAGTACTACTATCGTACTTCTCTTGCAATTAATTCCACTATGTGCGTAGAAATCCAAAGAAAAAAAAACTAGTTCTAGATATTTTTCTGAATTTCCATCAATCCATCTCCTAATAATATAGAAAATCGAATTTAGACATTCTAATCCTTCAAGTTAAGGAAATGGCTCTCGACTTTTTTTTAGTTCTACCAAAACCAAAAAATTTTAGAATAATATGATTTTTCTGCCGTTTTTTGAATTGTTTCTTTCTTTTGGTAATGTTTAATAGAAATGAATACAAGTTACCAATTGATTTCCATCTTCTCCACAGGTGCTTCCTATTTTGGCAGTCATTTTATTCTTGCAATATATTTAATCTGTATGTCAGAGTTTTTAGGTATTCATGTAGACCATGTTCATCATGTAGAGTACATTTGTGACAAAGGACAATTAATAGTTACCCAAAGCACAAATGACAGTTGAGCACATACTCTTAATATAATGACAGATTAGCTTTATTTTTTGGCTTAATTTTTCTCATATTTATCTGTTAAAATAAAAATTTGGGGACAGAGAATTGTCGAAGGTTGGAGAACTTGTCAGCTTTGATGTGTGCATGGAGATCATGGATCTGCTTTATGAAACAGAAGATACTTCAGTTCTCTTCAACTCTCCTTATTCTCTGGCAGCATCCATCCTTGTATGGTTAACATTGGTTCAATATTATATTGGTTATCTCATTTCTTTTTTCATGTCATTGTTACATTGCTGAAGTTGTTGTGCAGGTAGTTGCATACGTTATCTCTGTCCCAGAGCAACCATGGGAATTCCCAATTCTTCCTTGGGGTTGATACTATAGTTTTTTTGCCCTTCCATATTTTTACACTTTTATTTGTAATAATTACTTTTTTAACCTTATGATAGTTCTATTCAAAATGGTTTTTTAGTCCATGATTATACTGGCATTACATATTATGTCTTTTGTAGTCCTCAGTTCTTATTTACTTCGGACAAATAACAACTTTTGCAACCTTGGCTGCTAGGTCTCGACGTTCCCCTCTTCTTTCTCCAATAAATGGACCATCTGTCAGATGAGTGTCATTGCAAGGCATATGAAATAATTTAATCTTAAGTAAAAACTTCAATGAATGCCTTGAAACTGAGGATGGACATTAGAAATTAATATGGACGTCAGAAATTAATACATATATCGTCCCTGCCACTTAGATGTGAAACTTTTGATAGGATCCTAAAGAGTTATGAAGTAGATTTGATAGAGCTAAAACCTCAGTCCACATGACCAGAAAGGATTATGCCTGGGTAATAAGAAACACTATAGTGATTCATATATAACTTTATCAGGAAATTATTGGTTTATACTGTAATGGTCAATATGTAACTTGATTTCTTCTATTTTGGTTAATGGTATGCTAAATATCCCAACTTCTGTGTTATGGCTTTTATTGTCCCAATTTTTGTCCTAGACAACCTCAGACCCGTGTTTTTACCATAGAGATGGTCGCACTCGCATGTTTCTTTTGAAATTCTTATGTGCAGCTTGCTTCTTATCTCAACCACAAAAGTTATAAATTCTTGAGCGTATACTTTGCTTCATCTTTTATAGATTTTTCACTTTCTTGATTTATAATACTTACCATATTGCAGTGAAGTTTGTTACCTCCTATGAAGAAGAATATATACTAGAAATTGTTCAGAGGATTCTTGAACACATACTGAAGCCGGAGGTGAAAGGCCACAAGACGAATAGAGCCATTTCTATGTGATCCTTAAACGTTGAAATCAGCCAGCTATATCGCTATTTTTCTCTCGAAATTACTGTTTTTGTAAATAGATCGAAGAAAAGTGTGATTGAATTTTAGAGAAGGAAAATGTAAAGGATCGTCGCTTTTACTTTGAAGCATATATATGATCTCTTTGAAGTTTATATTTGATCTTAACTTGGCCTCAAGCACTGGTCAGAAGGAAATTGCTCTCATATATGTTTGAACATAAGTTGGATATGGGAAGGAGGAGTTTCAGTGGGATCAGGACAATCCTAAGGATGTGAAGTTAAAATTTTAAAAAAAAAAAAGGCAAAAAGAAAAAGAAAAGAAAAAGGGGGCCTTTTCAGTGCTCATTTCTTGCTCTCCTTCCGAACATTGACCTGTGGCTGTAAGTAATACACAAATCTACAATGATAAGAATTAGTCAATGGTGCACGTGTGAACTGAGGTCATAGATACTTGACAACAAATAATTGATGGGGGTTGACTACTTCTAAACGTCTAGTCCATAAATTTAAGAAAATAATGTAAGTAATTATTGAAACAAAACTCTTTATCACACAGCATATTTTCCCTGGGCGAAGAGGAAAACACCAGCAGGTTCAAGTCCATGCTACCTTTTTTTTTTTTTTGGGTGGGGGGACACCTCCAATAAAATCGAAAGAGAATTGTGAAACTTCATAATATGTACATTTAAAAAGCCCGTTTAATTGTCTGATTTCCTACTTAGAAAAAATTAAACTTTTATAGAAGCATTAAAATGGTATGCCTTGTAGTTTTTCAATATTAGTTACTAATTTATCTTCTCTAAGAGTTTGGTGTTAAAAATGGATTTTTCATGCTAAAAAGTAAAAACTGATTAACGACGCTGCTACTTTTATCAAATTTTTAGATATAGAACACAAATTAAGGGGTATTAAGTATTTGATGGGAATGGATAAGGTTGCTGAATGGCACTGCAAAGTGAAACTCTTTATTGCTTTTAGAAATATCTTGTCCTTTCAAAGAAAGAATACAAATCATAAATGAGTAGGAAGACACGGGTATGAAGTCCACATCTCAGAAGCATCTATAACAGCTGCAAAATGGGCAGGTTGTGACATAATATATTACACAAAGGGGCCACATTGTCCTCGTTGCGATGGATATGATGACTATTCAAATGGGCCCAACTTCTAATAAGGGCTTATTCTTAGATATAAGCAAAGGTAGTTTCTTGTCACATTATTTGAAGATGTAGGATATTTTATTTTATTTTATTTTTTTGCATGCTCATATGTGAGAGTTAACTATGATAGGAAACTTAAGAACATTGGTAAAATAATCTGGATTAATTACATTCTGGTAGCATGAGATAAGATGTTATCACACCAGTGATCTTAAAATTTGTGTATCCATACCGGTAAATTTGATATTCCTAATTACAACTACATGGGTGGCCTTAAAGTATGGACTTGAACCTATTACTTTATGGTCACAATCATATTGGATAACAATTTTTACTTATCACTTTTGAAGTTAGTTTTTTTTTTTTTTTTGGATAAATGGAAGAATAATAGAAACTTAAAAATGGAGCAAATGCGCACATTCATCTGTTTGTAATTGTTTCTATAAACATTTTAAAAGGCATCTAACTATAAAGGCTTCTACCGGTAACGTTGGATTGATTTTAAGATAAAAGTATGTTTTTTATCCGTTGTTTTTTCCCTTTTCCTTTTCGTTACTACTCTACATAGATTTTGTGATCTGCTAAATTGTTGGCAGATATTGACCTCAACCTACTCTGAGTATTTGGTAGGGGGTCAATTTCTCTTTTCTTTTATATCATCATCACACTAGTTGACATCTAGTGATACACTAATCCCCACTTAAAACTGGTAGTGATACCCTAACCACGAACTAAGAGGCCCCCATCATTTAACTACCCAAGCAATACAAACAAGAAGCCATAAATAAACTCCCACTCAAGAGAGTACGTTCCTTAATAGGGCTTTCTCAATTTTAGTCCCTCACATCTTCAATATTTTTATATTAGTCTCTCGAATCATTGAAATTTGAATTACTCCCTCAAATCTAATAACTGTTGAAAATAATCCCCAAGTCAAAATTTGTTTGCTTTTGAATGGAATATTCCTTTACATTTAATTTTTTTTTTTGTGTGGGACAACTGTTATTCTCCTATAGTTTACAAACATTAACCTATTAACCACTTAACTCATATCCATTTAGAACTTCAAACATGTTTTATTACAAATTCAAACTATATCCTATTTCAATCGTTCATCTTCCTCGTTTCATTCTTTGATTTCATTCCGTTTATCCACCTCATCGTCTTTCCCCCTCACCATCTTCACCCAAAAAGAAGGAAATGTAAGATTCCAACCCAGTTTAGAACCTTTTTGGCCTCTTCCCATCTCAAGCTCATCATCCTCCTCCCTTTCATCATGATGCTGAGATATCTCATCTCAACTCTCAAGCATTAAGGATAGGGAGAGACCAAGGTTTTAGGGGTTAAACGTGGGTAATTTGGTAAATTCTCATCTATGATTATCAATAATATGATTATGGTTAAGTTATTTGAACGGATTACATAGCAGAGGGACTAATCTCAACATACTTTTTTTAAAGATTTGGGGGATTGATTTCAAATGTCAATGATTTAGGGGCTATAATTTCAAAATATGGAAGATGTGAGGGACTAATACGAAAAATCCCTTCTTAATCACGGAAGGTGTATGAAATTTATGAAGCCTCTGTATTCACAGAAAGAAAGTGGCCAGCTTTCCAAATTAATTATTTTCAAAACATTTTTCAAAAACTAAAATAAAATAAGAACCAGACCAGCTTTCTGTAATACACTCGCTACTACAGTACTACTGACCCAAACTGTACTCTATCACTGACAGGTGGGCCAATGAAACAATATGGGCTGCTTCCCTCTTCCTGCCTCCTTGATTCCAGTGAGAAGCTCATGCTCCTATTTATTATTCTAACAAAATAAAGCAATCTTCCTTCTAGTCCAGTTCTATAGAGAAAGGAAACCCTTCAAAATTTCTCTCTCTGGTCTCCATGTTGTCATTTTATTTCCTCCTCTGTTAGCGTGTCAACCCTTTTCTTCTCTCTCGTTCCTAATTCCTTTTCTTCACTATTTTACTCTCTGAGGTCGCGAGATTCTGACGCGCCCTTTTAGGGTTTTGCTTTTGAAGGAAACCCGAATTTCTTTGTTGTGAAAAGAGAAGAAAAAGAGAGAAATTCGAAGGGAAATGGTGGAGATCGGGGTGAGGTCGAGTATTAGTATGGAGACCACCTGTGGAGCTCTGCTCAAAGAGCTTGAGGTAGTTTATTCTCTTTATTTTCTGTTCCTCCCCCCGCCTCAAAGTTTTAATTTTAGTTGCATTTCAACTTGGGTTCTGGTTTCTTGATCTCTCATTCAATTTCCTTTCGGGAAATGTTTGATCTTTTTGTAATATTGCTTTTTGTCTTTTCTATTTTGGTTTGTTTTTGTGCTTAAGGGAGAACTTGTGGTTTGCGGTGTACAAAATAAACGAGCTTTTGAAAATAATGGTAAAATTAAAAGGTTTTATGCATAAGGGACTTATGTCGATATTTTCTTTTTTTGGAAATTTCCCAAATTTGAAGTGCTTGTGTTTCTTTACTTCATGAGAGCAGCATATATGGACTGATATCGGTGAAAGCGAAGCGGAGAAAGACCGCATGTTGCTTGAGCTAGAGATGGAATGTATGCAAGTTTATCGAAGAAAGGTAGAGGAGTCTACCAAAGTTCGGGCGAAGCTCCATCAATCTTTAATGGCCAAAGAAGCGGAATTCACTGCACTTGTTGCCTCTTTGGGGGAGCATAACGCCTATCTGCAGGTAAAATATTACCTCTAAACTTTAACTTTATTAGCTTATTATTAGTGTATTAAAATTCACGGGTATCTGTTTATTTGTACTTCAATGAACATGTTATTGTTTGTTGGCCTGCATTTGATGATAAAGCTTAAAGATCAGCTTAGTTACTTGGGGATGGTTTTGTTACAAAGTGTTCATCTACTTTATAGAATGCTCAGTAATTGAACCTTCAATTCTGTGAAATGCCGGGATTCTTGTAATACCCCAACCCTTGAAGAGGGTGATATGATTAGTATTGATAGATTTGATTGGAATACTCATATCATCAAGATGCATCTTCTTTTCGGAAACTCAATTCTTAGAAACTCCAAAGTTAAGCGTGCTTGGCCTGGAGAAATTCTAGGATGGGTGACCTCCTAGGAAGTTTTCCAGGGAGCACGTGAGTAAGGACAAAACGTGCTGAAAAGACATGTGGTGGTTTGTGAGGCCAGTCCATCAGATCTAATAGCATACCGACTCCGAGATTCCGGGGCGGGGCGTTACAAATGGTATCAGAGCCAAACCAACCGAAATTATGAGAGCTAAGTGTTATGCGGCGCAAAGTGCTACGTCAAGAGGGCGGGAGCCACCTCTTGAGGCCGTAGGAGCCACCTCTAGAATCTCACACGGATGGTACGGTCTTGGATGATATGATTTGGCACAACGAGGACGTTGTGAGTTTAAGTGGGGGAGTTTGTAATACCCCAACCCTTGAAGAGGGTGATGTGATTAGTATTGATAGTTTTGATTGGAATACTCATACCACCAAGATGCATCTTCTTTTCGGAAACCCAATTCTTAGAAACTCTAAAGTTAAGCGTGCTTGGCCTGGAAAAATTCTAGGATGGGTGACTCTTTGGGAAGTTTTCCAGGAAGCGTGTGAGTGAGGACAAAATGTGCTGAAAAAACATGTGGTGGTTTGTGAGGTCAGTCCATCAGATCTAATAGCGGAACGACTCTGGGATTCCGGGGCGGGGCATTACAATTCTACTTATTTCCATTCTACTTATTTCCCTTAATTCATTTAAATATTTGGTAACATATAGTGAAATTGTGGTATTGCTTAGGAATGTTCTCCTCTAATAATTGAATAGTTAAAAGTCCTCTTTTTCGCCATGATTCTTCCTTGTTCATAGATTGCATAGTGATTTACGTATGTTCTCAAGTATGAGTACTTCTAGCATAAAGCATCCCTATAAATTATCCTTCTAGACTCTTGTAATATTAAAACCCAAGCAAGCACTCTGGATACCTACATTTCCACGTGATTTTTCTCGCTTCTCAATTATTTGACACCCAAGGAGCGAGGGTGAATTTGTATATGAGATCAACTATACCTAGGATTATGCTTCATTATCTAAAACTGCTCCAAGGAGTCCACAGTTGAAAATTATGCATCACATGATTAATGACAGCTTCAGTAAAGCAGATAATGATAAGTACAGAAAATGAGAAGTAGAGAACTTGACATGGTTGGAGTCATGGATTGCAAGAAGCCCGGATCAGTTAAAATTTGTAGAGTTTTGATGTTTATGATTATTTAAGTTCAGTTTTCCTAGCAGCTCATGAAATAAGATGATTTCAGTAACTATTTATATGTTCACATGCAACTAGTCGCAAGTTAAGTGTGAATTGTGAAGGCTGTCAATTTATGTGTATTATTCTTGCAAAACTTTTATTTTTTATGTTATTCAAGCTTAACTAGTCTGGCCAATATTTTTTCATGTTTGTCTCGATGCATAAAACATCAACTTG